TCTCTTTAGTTGTTTTTAGAACTGAAGATGCTTAATGCTTAAGAAAATTTAAATTCCTCCCTAAAATGCTACTCACAAAAAAAGGATGGTTTGAGTCTTAGTTTAAAAATTTCTGGGGTACTACAAGTATATCTTCATTGGTTATGGTCTTCGTGAATTTATCTATCATTTTTATGACGCAGTCGAGTAGAAACTTGTTAAAATTCGTGATATTTGTGTTCTTTGAAGACCAAACAATTTCTTCAAAGTGCAATAGTGAAAGGAAGATGAAAATGCTAGTCATACTAGTCAAAAGAAAAAGTATAACAACCATATGTTCAAAAGAAAGTATGAAAAAATTATGAAAATGCTACCTACAACACACTCCAAAACTTTAACCACTCCAAATTTTACCCATCTGTTAACATGTTTGTTCTTTTCTCTTATTTTTCATTTTTTTGGATTTCTTGTTGGAACATTATAAGATGTATCGTATCTTCATAAAATTCTAGATATGAATTTGGTTTGATTAACCAGAGCATGAAAAAAACCACATATAAATGAGAGGAGAAATAGAAAAGGAGGCAATATTGTCTAAAGGTTTGAGAAATTCGAGCTTGCATGTTAAATTTTAGTTTTTAAAATTCAAAAATAGTTTCAGACTTTACCAAGTAATGAAGTCAATAACATGAATAGTAAGGTTCATGAATATTTATTTTTCTAATTTATGATAGCTCTTTGTCTTTATTGTCCCTACTCGTTACTACTTGTCCCACAAAAAAAATATAACCCAAAGCCAAAATTCATGTTCCTTCCTTCAATATCATTAAACTATCCACATGCAAAGGCAAGTATTGAAAAAATCATCATAGCAGAAATTATTATATTTGATAAGAAAACTATTCATTCGTTAAACTTCTGCTCATTTTTCAATGATTTCAATAAAAGTAAGACATGATTCCATCAGGTTGTTGTAAGGTGATAGATGGTTAAATTTCATCTAATACAATTAAAAAATATCTAGTGGAGATCTTATAAAAATATTAACTAAAAAGATCAGAAAAGTTAAATCCAGATGTCAATTTTTTCTCCAAATAATCATAGTCAGTGTAAAACTTGAAACTTTGAACTTAAAAGCAACATATCATTTCAATTAAAGAAGGAAGAAATGGAATTAAAGCTGTGAAATTTCTGGTAGCTCTTGAAACTTTTTCTGTAAAAATTAACTCAGCTACACTCAGTTACAAAAGTGTAGAAATCTTCCACATTACATATAACTGATGATTCAATTCAAACTCCCAATAAATGCCACACATAAAGAACTTGAATAGTCTTTGCAACTCCTTCTTAGAGAATTTCTTAGACTAGCTATAAAATAAATAAATTTCAAATAAAAAATGACATTAGTTCTTAAATCAGTAAAAAGCTTCTCAAAATTCGACTAAAGAACAATAGCCTGAAGGAAGTTTCAAGTATCTTCGAGTCTTATTGAACTTCACCACAAGCTCTTCAAATAAGTTACAAGCTCAACAAAAGGAACACAAAATCATATACCCATGTAAAAGTACTTGCCTTGCACCATATTCCAACTAAGATAACTTTTTCTTTTTACATATTCAAATTGAGATAGTGGGAGATATTTGGGTGTCACGTAATCCAAAAAGATGCACAAAATTAAAAATAAATTTTAGAAATAATAAAACCTTAATTTAGTCCAGGTGTATTTTGCCAATTGGTTTTCAATAATTAACTCTTTTCAACTTGAAAATTCACTATTCTTCATGGGATTCAATCCTCCATTCAATTGTTGGTAGAGACTCTGTTCACTGTAAATAATATTTGAGGCAAGAATAAAATTACATGATTTGAAGAGGGTTTGAATGAATTAAGCTAGTTCTGTTAGGTTAGTTATTTAAGAAAGTTAATTGTATCTTGCAAGTCAAACAAAGATGAGAGAAACAACGAAATTTTCTTTCAATTAGTTATACCTTTTCGTCTTGAAGGCCATTCTTTAGACTATTTTTCTCAAGAGTTGAAATAAAATATCATATACTGAAAATCGTCAAACTTTTGGTATCAATATGAACCACCCATTCTCCACTTATAATCCAAGACTTCTTCATTGATAGATGAAACAAAGTTTGTAATTTCTTCACTTATAATCCAAGACGTATTCATCAATGGAAGTTCACTATTATTACAAAAGTTAGCAAGATAAGTCAGAAGCACTTTTCTGTAGTCATAGGAAATTGAGAGTAGTGGATATGTTAAAAGAGTTATAATTGCAAAGAAATTTTCAGACCTAATTTTTTTTTATTTACATGAACTACTTAGTCTTTGTAATATTGTTTCTTTCTGAAAAAAAATTGAATCAATTTTAGTGAACTATTTTTCAAGCACTTGGGAGGAATCAGAATTCAATTATCTAAGCAGGTCATTAGGAAAATGTAAGAGACAAGAAAAATCTTGGTAAAGCTATTAGTACAAAATAGAAAAAAACAAGTGTTCTAATTTCAAACGAGTGTAAAGTGAAGAAAGAGTGAAGAATCACCTGGGAGGAACTAAAAGAGTCAAAGCAAAAAGCAAGAAAAGATGGTATAGGGCCTAATATCTTAAAACATTGAAGTTTTGTTGATAGCAGGACCATTGTTGAAGTTATAGGGCCCAATCCTTAAAAATAACATGCTATAAATCATCAAATTTTAGTATATAACTTAAATCTATGATAACAACTTTTAAACAAACTATAGAATATAAAAAATAACAAGAGTTGCTCAAGACTTTTGCTTGCTCTAGTGCCAACATATATGTTCTTCTCCAAATGACAAATTGTTGTTTTTTTACATAAATATTATATTTTGTCAAATATCAAATCGATTTCCTTATTATATACATTAACTACCTCTGATTCTTTTGAATAAATTATCGAGATTGAAAGATGATATGTAAGTTCTCGTATGAATTAGAGATGACGATCCATACGAAAAAAATTTATACACAACTTTAACAAAGAGACACGTAACTGAAGTGACCCGACTCATTCAAAGAAACTAAATTTCACTTCTAAATTTAGCATAATTGTGTCATCTTCAAGTATAAGGTACCATAATCCATACACAATTTTTGCATTTAATGATTAATAAGAAAAGCTTAAAGTTAATTCTAATCATACCAAAATATAAAAATGAAACTAATGAGAAAAACACTGAATAAAAAACATAAACATCTTAGTTTCTTTAGGATATTGCCAAAAACCAACAATTGCCCATTATTCGTGTTAGTACATGTTAATTTTTGGAAAAGAGATATGTACACTTTAAGGTAATCAAACATATTATTCGCTTTACCTCCATAAAACTCTAAGAAAGTTGAATTTCAGCTCATTCATTTAGCCTGGATGAAATAGAAAATGTGATCGAATAAAGAAGTTTAAAGTGCCAGAATAAAATACTAATGGGCCCAGAAAACAAAAATGAAGAATAGTCCTTATGGTAACCAAATGTAACTCATGAAGGCCAGTCCCACAAATTGGTTTCTCATAAGATATTTTATTTTTGCAAATTACAACAAATGCTCAATAACAATAATATTTGCAGCACACATAATTTGATCATGAACAAAGCCGGATATGAGCAAGTATAATGCTATGCCAAGAAAAAAAATATGAAGAAACTTTTACAATTAAATTAGAGAAGATGCAACATATTTAAGAAGTGTAATTTATCATTTTGATATTAGTAATGTTGAGATCGTAGACCATGTAGAGTCGAATTTAGAATTTGAAGACTTCGGGTGTAACAATATTATCTAAGAGGAAATGAACAACTACTTCACTAGCCTCCTTTGAATGTATATATAGAGGTGAATTCAAAATTTGAAGACTTCTAGTGTACCAATTAGCAGAATTTGAATTTTGATATCTAGGGTGGTTTCTCTAGCTTATACCAACAACACAGAGGAACTCTTATGCTTTTCATGAATGCAATCTTAACTGTATCCTAGTTTTTGTCAATCTCTGAAAATAAATATACATATATACATACAATTTACTGTAAAGTTTAATGGGTGCGTATGGGTTCGCCTCTGAGACAAAGAAAATATGAACTTACCTGATGAATTGATTTTTAAATATGAAGTTTCTAGGCTCCATCCCCACATTTCATGTTTGCAATTCTGTCCTTTCTCCTATTAGTAAATGCAAAGACCCACACATAAGAAATTAGTAAATGAAAAAGACACTCACATCAACAACAAAGCGAAAGGAACACTAGATCTCAATAAACAGAAGCTAAAAAAGACACAAACCGATAAATAGGAAAGACAACATTAAGTGCAAAAAAATCAGAAGAAAACATTCAATTACTTCTAAATCTAGTGCATGCAATTTTACCATAACACAAAAGATCAAATAGATCAACGAAATTGAACGAAAAAGCAATTCAGTCAAATAGTTAGTACCATCCATAATTTTTTTAGTACAGTAAATAACAATAGTGATCGTCCTATCCTTGCTGCCTTATAAAATAGGATTACGTAACACTTATAAAATCATTGTCAAAATTATATCCCAACCTCTTAGACCGATTATGAATAAACTTATTTGTCTTTATCAAATCAGTTTTTCAAGGAACATAATGGTTGCAAATAATGCACTTACCGTTCAAGAAATTATCTCACACTTTATAAAATGAAGTAGAATAATGCTAATATGCTTATTAAACTGAACTAACAAAAAATTTTTGACAAAAATAAATGTTCTTTTATTAAAAGCACTCTACACTATTTCAATTTTCCTATATAACAATCAGCCTCATTATGTCTTGCATCACCACCAATAATGTGCTAATTCTAATAAAAGAAACTAAAATAATTTTTTTAAACCACCGAGAGGAATAAGACATGGAGAAATATATATATATATATTACTACTATTATAGAAAAGGCTAGTTTCAACATGTGTGCTTCATGTCTATTAATTCAAATTTGAGGACATTTTGGTCCTTTCAATTCTTTATTATAGATTAGGTGTCTTGTGCAGAGATATTTTCAGTGACACATTACATCATTAGTTTCATCTTTCAACTTTCTTCCTTTATTGCTTTTTACTTTGGTTGCTGAAAATCTACTCTATGTTTTTCCCATTCATCCCAGGTAAGGCTCTTTCAATTTTTTTCTTTGATTTCTCTAATGTTTTATTTTTCCCTAAACTTTGATGGTTGTTTTTTCCTTCTTCTAGCTGTAATGGTTATTCTCTATTTGTTCCCTCTTCTTCGCCACTCCTCCGGCGACGAAAACCAACTGCTCCGGCTACAACTCTGGCGAAGAATCCCACAATGGTCAACGCTCGCCGAAGTCCGTTCTACGGTGTGCTTCAACTTCATTTGATGAATCTCAGAATAACGAGGAAGTATGTGCTTCTTTTTTGATGGTCTACTATCTCTTTCATCAGAGTGGGTTTTGCTTTGTGTAGCCAATTGGAAAGATTTTCCTATTGATGAGCTATTTATTTCTGATATGTGATGAAGCTGATTATTTACATTAAATTCTTACATATTTGAGTGCTAAGCACAAATTGTTGGCTGCTGCTGTTTTAAGGTGTTGCTTTTCCTCTTATTGGTTTTGGGTGTAATGATTATGTCACATTAGCATTGTCCTACCTCAAAATCAATGTAATGTAGGCTGTTGCTTGTGTTATTGGCTTATTACATGTCGGGAACTTCCTTACTGTCCAAATACAATGAGCTAATTAAAGCTTTAGGATGTTAAAATGATCTTGTTTTGATGTCATAAAAAATATCTTGTTTTAAATTAAAATAACGAAACTAAGAACTTATCATTTGACCTTTGTATAGGAAGTCATGTTTTTAGTGTTATGGTGAATGTCCTCTGAATTATTTTCTGATGAAGTCATCTCCGTGGTGTTTGTGCCGTAATCCACTTTGTTTTTTGTATTTCAAATGCTTGGTAGCACAATGTATTCCTTTTGATAACTCCAATTTTTGGTGCAGGGATGGATACAATGACTTCAACACGTTCTACATGCAAGTAAGTGGATTCTGTAATAGAAAATTTTGAGCTTTTTTAGCCCTCATAATTGATAAATCAGCTCCATTTGTTTGTTCAGAGTGCACTATATCATATATATGACAAACATGTAACTTGCCAAGAATAAATGGCTTAGAACACTAAAGGAGCATGCACGGACAAAATTCAATGATAATATGTCTGTAAGAAGGGGGTTGTAATACAAAAGTTATTCATAGACTAGTGGCTGTTAATAGGAAGATACACCTTCTTGCATCAATGTAGACAGTGGACACAATGTATGATGGCTAGGATGTTATGGGGACTAGTAGAAATTTATACTCAAATACACGAGGATAGCTGAAGGATAACCTTTTTTTTGGGGGTGGGGGTGGGGGGGTGGGTGGGTAGATAGAAAATAAATAAAAATGTTCCCTCTACTCTGTGAATATCCAATACATTAAAAATTAACTCAACTATATATTATAAAATAAATCAAAAATAAATAAATAATATAATATAATAATACTTTTATAAAACAATAGGATACAATACAATTATCACCTAATTTCAAACAACCATTCAAACACAATGTAAAGGGTAAGGGTAAACATAGGCACAAAGAACAAAAATAATGTTATCCAAAAAGCCAACAAAAAATAAAAATTTGATACTGAATGACACGTATGGACCTTATATTGACTATATTCTTTGCAAAAACACAAAAAAATGATACGTATACACACGTATAATGCCACATGTCTACTAACCATATCATAACTCTTCTTATATATATCTCTTATTTGAAATACCAGATGATTATGATGAGAAAAAGAATCTATGAACTTTTTTGATTGGGGATGAAAATTTTCTTAATATTCTTTATGCGATTGTAGAGATATTTTTCTTTTTGCGTTTTAATTATAACTTGCAGATGTACATTAGAGGAGCTTTAGGAGTTTCCGAGGATATCACTAACATTGAAGATTTCTTTGAAGTTGTTGACTTGGGGTGAACAAATTGTCAAGAAAGGTGCCTAAAGGCTGAAATGATGAGAAGGGTTACGAATAAAAAAAAACTATGGCGCAGTAATTTCTATGTTCTATTAATTATTTTAGAATTGTATCTATATCTCATGATCCATGATAAAGAGAGAACACTAAGACTTAATATCTGACCCTACCAAGTAAAAATTTTCACTTGAAATATTATTTTAGAACTGGTAAGAAGAAAAAGTTAATTTAGTAGTGACCAAATCCTCCGAGTCCAGTAAATGTGAAGCTTTAGCCAAATTGTCCTCTCGTTTATGTGTCCCCAAAAGATATTTGATGTTATTTTTCAGTTCTAGAGATTTATATAATGCACAAAGCGAATGCTTTTGCTATCTGAAATATATGTAAAATATGATCGATTTCTTTATTGCAATGATATTATACCACTTATAATTCACTAATACGAAAATCAGATTTTTCATATAATGCATTAATTTTTCTGAAATAATGATCATTTAATGTTGAGCCGTGCTTTGCACGGCCATGCTCTATCTAGTATATATATATATGAAAATCTTCTCTGGAAAATTAGAAACTGAGAGGCGGTTAAAAAACTGAAAATCAATTAAAATACTTAGTAGAAGATCGGAAATATTCCGCTTCTTCTTTGTGGATGACCGTGTCCTCATGACCAGGGCTAATAAAATAAGTTGCATACTCAATGATTTTTGCTCGCAATTTGAAAAGACAATCAATAACAAAAAATCAAAGACTATATTTTTCATGAAATTGCTCAACATGAATCAAAAAGGAGCTCACAACTAAGTTTGATATTAAAAGTAGAAATAAATTTGTGAAATATTTAAGATTTTTTCATACACCGTAGAAGACCTACAAATATAGACTTCCAATACATATTGGATAATTTTCAATCTAACTTAGCAGGCTAATAAATCAAATTCTTGAACAAAGCAGGAAGAGCAACAGTCGTAAATTCTTGTTTTAATAATATTTCAAACCATATTTACAGACCTCCTTCATAATATATCTTATAAAATTTATCAAATACCAAGAAATTTTATATGGGTACCACAAGCGCAACAGAAAAATGGACATGATAAAATGAGATATTATGACAAACGAAAGGCATGATTGAGGCTTAGGATTGCAACAAGACAACACTAAAAACTTAGCATTGCTCGCTTAACTAGCGTGAGGAGCTAAACATTAGATCTCATTGGGCTTCTAATCTACAATAAAAAAAATACACTAAAGAGAGAAACATAACCTACCATGCCCAAGGAAAAAAAATCATAGAAGATTTGAAAAGACTTAGTTAAGATCTAGATATATACAAAAAGGATTTATATTGGATCTTGAAAAATGACATGGTATTATCTTTCTGGCACGATAAATGGATACCAAACCATACCACAACCCGAGAAAAATTCAAGGACCCTTAGTCCTAAATGAATATTTCATTTTGATAAAAGTATGGTGTATATTAAGAGTAGTTAGAGGTCAAATACTTTATTTATTGACTTAATTGAAGACATAATTGACCTTATTAACTACAATTACACACCGGCCAATTCAAATAATCCCAATGTGGTTACGTGATTTCAAACCCCCATGTCATATATAATAACAATGAAATTTGTCTACAGTTTCATTAGAGAGCAAATAAAACTCATCATTTAAGTCCTAAAGAGAACTTCATGTGGATATGAAAGTTACACTATCCAAACAAACTAAAGTTTTTGATATGGTTGTGAAACACAATAGACTTTCAATCTGTAACTATCTAAATTCTATGTGTATTGGCATATCTAATAACTACAGTCTATGTAACATTTCAAAAACTACAAGTCATTTTTCTTGAAAGCACAAATGTAAGAACATATTGGACAGAAATGGGTGTCATTTACATAATCAACAAGTTCATTAGTAATCAAGAATTAGACTACAGTTAAAATTTTTTAGGAAACTTGACGTTGTTTTCAACAAGAATCTGAACTGGCACAATGCTTTTTCATTTTTTATGTGGAATATTTTGCTAGTTAGAAAAGGTTAAGAATAAAATATCCATCAACACCCTTTTAACTTATGTCATGAAATGTAAGAAAAATTCTTACCTATGACTCAACTTTACTTGTGACCAAGTAATATTATAAATAATATTTAATGAGAAATAAATCCCGTTTCTGCGTAGTTACTTGATGGACTTTCAAGATTAAGTCATAACATCTATAATTGGTCCTCTCTCCACCCATTAGGGTTACCATATATTCTCTTCACTATTTTCATCATTTATGTTGTGGTAACATAAAGCTAGGGAAAGAAGGTCGAAATCAATTTACGACTGACTCTTCTATTTAGATCTCTATGTAAGATTATCATGTTTAAGATGATGTGTATTAAAGTATTTAAATCTTACATGTGGTATCAGAGGCATGATTGTTTGAACAGATAATGTTCGTATATCCTCTGTAAGTAATTAAAATAATTTAAAAAATTAGCACAGGTATAGCCTACTATTTTTTCCCAATCAAGTTATATATTCGTCGTAAGTGTAGAGATTAGATTCAAATTTAATGTGTCTCACAACCGAGAAAAATTAGGGGGGTCATTTTGGTTTTGGGTCTGCGACGAATAGGTTCAAGAGATGAGAGAATTAAGGATACCCACCAGAAAGACTAATCCAATCCATAAGGAGGTACCAGAAAATATTATATTATCGGTGTCATAAATTATGTAACTGCATCAGAAATGTAGCATTCATTGCATGTATGAATTATGTGAACTACCTTACATTATCTTCAAATTGTGGATGTTCAATACAAATTAAACTAATACATATGTAACTAATTATTTAATTAGAATTTTGAACATGAATGTTGAAAAGTAGACGAACCCGGATGAATGCAAATAACGTGAGAACCATGATTTTTTTTTTTAAAAAAAATTCCTTCTAAGTTTAATTTTGTCCAATAAAACTATGTTCAAGCCTATTGTTAAATCCTTCTGTAGGAGCCGAATTTTGTGCTTCACTATTTAAGGTGTTTAGACTCTTCATTTAATCAAGAGTTGCTAACAAAGTTTAATTTGCACAAATTCTAAAAATCTTAAATATTTTTTCTATAATGCAATAATTATGTTTTCTTTTAAATTGTTCTATATTAAAGTGATCATTATGCTAAATAATAAATAATATGTGGGTATTTAGTGAAAAATAGTTTGTGAGTCACTAAAGTGGTCAAATTAGAGAATTTACGTCTACACATATAATATTTATGATCACTTTACGCATGTATTTTATTCATATAGTTAGTTAGTCACCAAAATGTTCAAACTAAAATGCAAAAAATTATTCACATGCACAAAAGTTTATGATACTATGTGTACATTTATATTTATATAGTTTGTTAGTCACATAAGTGCACAAACTAGTATGTTACGAAAAATATGCATTCGTAAAATTATCATTTATCTAAAAAAATTAATGGAATGCCTGTATAGAAAATAAATAGATAGATTGGTTTTCACTATTGCCAGAATTTAAGAATTTACCTCAAGGTGAATCAACCATTCTAGGAATAGTGAACAATATGAGGTAAATTAATATTTTCAAGCAAACATCTATTGTATATATGAAGATGTCGTATATGTTTAATTAAAAATATTTAATTGTCTTATGATAGTGTGTCGTTATATCCATACAAAGGAGAATTACGATATGCCTTTATTGTTTTATTGAATTCACATTATTTTCTATTTGTGAGCATGTATTTTTGAAGTTATTCCTCTTCATTTTTATGCTTCATTTGTAACTGTATTCAATGGATTGAACTTTATGAATAAGATGAACAATTCCAATTTCACTTAGGTGTGATGAATCTTGACTTGGTTCTACTGAATGAAAAACTTGTTGTCATTATTCATAAGAGCATTGAGGATGAGAAAACTTTTCGTAAATCATGGAAGCGTTCTAATATATTAATTCTTATGTTCATGTGAATAATTGTAGTGAATACATTAGGAGTACTAATCCATAAATAGAAAATGTCGGGGAATAACTGAAGCTTGTGGAAGAACATTTTTCGTTCTGCTCAGTCTCTTTTTGGTATATTAATTGATGAACTCATGACCATGAAGTTTGATTGGTTGCGTAGTATGCAAAATCATATCATCGAGATGACTAACATTGTGGTAGGACTTCAGACCTTGTGAATAAAAGTGGATGAAACCTTCTTGGTACAGTTTATCATGAACTTATTGCCTCTTGATTACCGACCATTCTCCTATAATATTGTGAAGGATAAAAGGAATGTTAGTGAATTGTAAATTATGCTTACTCAAGAAGAGTCGATACTCAATATACAAGGAAGTCATTACATTAATTTCATGGGTCCAGAAGATGGTAAATGACTCAAAGTGAAGGCGAACAAGCTTAAGAAAAAGGAAGCACCTGCTAAAGTTCCATAGGATGCTCATAAGTAATTCAAGACTTATGTGTGTCGTTATTGTATAAAGGATTGGCACTACTGCAAATATTGCCAGACACATAGAGATTGATTTGAAAAGAAAGGTACATTTAGTATTTTTGTATGTTTCAAATCATTTTTAGTAGAAGTTCTTAATAATACTTGGTAGCTTGATTCTAGTGCAACTACTCATGTATTCACTATGTTGAAAAGATTCACTATGATCAAAATAAAAACTGAAATAAGATTTCTTGTTCATGGAAAATCGCATGAAGACTCAAATTGAAGGAATAAGTACTTATCGGAGACTGGACATCACCTTGATCTATTACAAACTCCTTATGTCCCTTCAGTTTCTAGAAATTTAATTTCTCTTTCAAGACTTGACGTTTCTAGATTTGATTTTATATTTGGACATGGACGTTTTAATTTATACAAAAATACTTTTATGGTTCAGGTGTTCTTATTGATGATTTATATACATTAAAGCTTGATAACAATTTTTTTGAATTCCTTCTTACTATTCATTAAAATGTTAGAATTAAAATTAGTTCACGGAATGAAAGTTCTACTTATTTATGACATATATGTTTGAGTTGTGTATCCTAATAAAGATTATAAAGATTAGTAAAGAGGGAGATTCTTTTGAATATGAATTATAATGATCTTGATATATGTTTGTATTGCATAAAAGGAAATCAAATCACACATACCAAGAAAAGTGCCATAGGGAGAAATTATACACACTGATATTCGCGGGCCCTTTGATGCTCTATCTTTTAGTTGAGAAGAATTGTTTTATCACTTTTATCAATAATTTTTCATGTTGTAAATTTATCTATTTGTTAAAATAAAAATCTCAATCAGCGGATGCTCTAGAAGTGTACGTTAATGAGTTTGAAAGACAATTATATATGAAAGTGAAAATCATTAGAAAATAGAG